TGTTACTTGGTCTAGAAACATTCCTTGATCTTCTTGGCATGGTTGAATGCTCCTTTTCTGGGTCCAACAGATCTTGATATGAAGTTGTTATTTTAACAACCCCCCCCAATTAATCTATAAACTCTCTCTGGTGATGCAACTACCCCTTACTACCCTTGCTTCCACAAGGTATCCAAACAATGCTGGTTCAGAAACAAAGAATACTACTCAGTGCTCTTACTTATTAAAGAGAAAATCTCTAGCCATCATCACTCCTCTTGAAACAGAGTGTTAAACTGGTAGTTTGTTTATTGTGGGGACTAAACCCAGGGTCTCTTGTGTGCTTTGGAGACATTTGAAGCAAGATCGAATCAATTCAATTATAAAGACATTTTGTATCTCCCCCCATTTTCTTTATCTCTTAAATGAGGAAACAATGAATGAGAAGTAGGATTTTGTATTAAAATTCTTTCTTGGAAGAATGTTCCCACTACCTTCTAGGGATCTATTTCTGTCTTATTTCTCTCCCTAAAATTGAAGAGACATTTCCAATGTTTTGGTTCCTTCTTTTGCTTTTATGCTACTTGAGAAGAAAATGTTGGGTTTCAGAGTTCATAAAAAAAAAAACCCTCAGTTTCTTGACCTGACACCAACTTTCTTCCTTTGAGACCTGAGTAGATGACCTCCCCTGCTTAGTGGTAATAAAAAAATAGAGTTCAAAGGCTTAACTTACCTCTTTCCTACGCTGTGTTCTTATACCTGTGAGTATTGTTAAGAAAGGTAAAACTGGATTTTCTCATGGTGATGATGTAAATTATTCTCCCAATTCTACTCCCTCTCAGGTCCTCGACTCTCAGTCCATAAAATGTTACACCTCTTAGCAATATCAAATATCAATCCTGAACATCTTAGCTGTAGACTATGGTCTCAGGACAGAACTTACATTCTACCTTGTGAAGTATCTGCTTTTCTGTAGTGTATTGTATTTGTGGTTTTCTCTTGTGTTACTGCACCTGCTGCCTTTTGAGAAAGGACAGTAAGATGTTTGCTTTACTCAGGGAAAGGTTTCAGAGTTCACCTAATATCATCTTGAGCTTTTGGGTAAACTCGAGAAAGAGAAGAGAAATTGCCTTCCTACTTGTGCTGCTGTTTCCTCCCCCTCTCTCTTCCTTCTTCTTTGTCTCTTCCTTCCTTTCTGTTTCTCTTTCTGTGTGTTTACATAACAAACATTGGAGAGATTTAGTAAAGAAGTAGACCCATCTGTTACTCAGATGGGATACCTATGGTGCATGTATGTAACACGAGCTTACAGGAGAAATTTAACAAGATGATGTTTCCGGCCCTGTTGACTGCCAGGATCTGTAATTATCAGAATAATAACAGATTATTATTATGGACTCTTTAGTCCATCCCAGTTTATTGGTATAATAACTACCCAAAAAGAGTTGTGTGTCCTATGGAGTGCTACATGTCCAAATACAGTCCCTATTATGCAATATGTAAACATGTCCAGATATTAAACTACAGTATTAGGTTAATAGCATTCTTTATTTTTTTCTGTTTATTTCCATCCTAAAAGCTTACACTCAGTATTTGGGGTCTTTGTAATTAAGGAAGACAATTAACTGAGATTAAGCTCAGTTTAAGAAACCTTTCATCTCCACATTCATCCTGGACATCAGTTCCTTCTTGGCCTTATTTGTTCCTCCTAGTATAATTTCCTTTGATGAGAAAGATGGAACTCAAAAGGGGCAATGGAGATATATGGTCCTTTCCCTGTCAATGATCTTCTTCATTTGTTTTCTTTTCCTTGTTTGGCTTTGTTGTTTTTCTAATGAGCTAAATATGAGGGTAGGGGATATGGTTCAGAGGTAGAGCACTTACTAAGTATGCATGAAGTCGTAAGTCTGATCCCCAGCATCATAAAAATAAAAATTCATTCATTACTTTTCCCAGCACATCATTCTATCATGTGATAGACTTGCATTAGTATTTTTCTTCCATCTTTTTTATATTCATATTTCTTTCCTTGTTATTACAACTGTTCTTCCCAGTTGTTTAACATTTATTACATTAGTTGAACAACCTTTTTACACAATTATTTGTTTTGCTGAATAGAAAAGAATTCTAGGTCTTAAAACTTTGAGTCTCATATTTTCTGGAAATCAATAAAATCATCCTTTAAAAATATCAAGAGCAAAACCAGTTTAAGAAAAGGAACAATTAGATTTTGATATTAAACCAGCAAACTCAGATCTGTGATAAAGGCAATACCACCTATTTCCTCCATACTCGAAATCACTGCGGGAAACTAGCCGAAAGCTTGTTTGGCCTTTGTGAATTGTCAATAACGTCCAGATAATATAGTAGGGACAATCCCAGACACTGCCTAAGGGTAGACTGTAAGCAGTGAAGTCACACTGCTAGCTGGAGAGGCTGCTTGCTTTCACCGCAGTCTCCCCTCTGCAATTTCCCTTTGGTCAAAGCAAAGTCTGTTTCTACGAAGGACTCACAGCTCTAAGCTTGTGCCAAATAGCATAGCTTGTTTCCAAAGCTGTTTCTCAGGATCTGGCAGGGATGGAGATTATTCATATCCACAGAAATCACAAAGATGATTTGATCCTACACACACACACACACACACACACACACACTATGAATGTGATTTAAATGGTGCTTCATTTGGACGTCCACAGGAAGAAAATACCCAGAGGGACACACAGAGAGAAGCACTAGACATTCAGAATATCACTCCATATTGCTTTCATGGCAGTAGCATTTGGGCTTCAAATGTGTGTACATATGTTTCAAAATAAGGGCACTTGCTTATTATATGTGAGGTCATGAGTTTTATCACCAGTACCACAAAAATAAAATAAAATGAAGATAGAAATTAATGAAATGATGAAGTGCTTTAGTATTGACTAAGATACAATCACTTTAAATATATTCCCAAACTGCACTTTACAGTTTTCTTCACGACATGCTTGACCTGTGTCAGGGATACAGGTACTGCAAGTTTCTGGAAAAGCACCACAAAGGTAGCATATGAGCTGCAGTCAAGCCTAAGGCATTGCTACGGGAATCTCTTGCCCTGGGATGCTAATTAACTCTAAATATTGCATATAAATTCAGCCAGAAGCTAGTGAAAGAAGCAGGTCTCAGAAGATAGCAAAACCAAAGAAGTTCAAAATAAAAATAATATCTTCTGATTAGAGCAAATGGGACCAAAGGCATGGTGGAAACTTCTTCTCCTCAGTCTGCTTTCTGTTCTTTTTTCTAGTAGCTTCTCTCATTTATCTCCTCTTTTATTTTCTCTTCCTTATTATTTATGACAAGTGTAGTTTGTTGGGTAGGGTGACTAGGGAAGGTATCCTTTCCCAGAGACCTGCTCTCCCTCATCTTTTAGTTTCATGGTAAAAATATTTAACAGGAGACCTACTGTCTTAACAAGATTTTATGTGAAAATACAGTATTGAAGTATAGGCGCTATGCTGTACAACATTGCATTATTGCCTATAAGTGCTATGCTGTACAATATTGCATTATTTTCTATAGGTGCTATAGTGTACAATATTGCATTACTGCCTATAAGTGCTATGCTGTACAATATTGCATTATTTTCTATAGGTGCTATAGTGTACAATATTGCATTATTGCCTATAGGTACTATGCTGTAAAATATCACATTATTGCCTATAGGTGCTTTGCTGTAAAATATCACATTATTACCTGTAGGTGCTACACTGTACAACCGATGTCTAGAATCCATTCAGCTTCATAATCAAAACTTTATACCATTGACCAACAGCTCCTCATACCCCCTCCACTCCCTTCCCTCATCCTTGGCAACCATCATTCACTAGGGTTTCTGAATGTGGTCACTTTAGATGGTTCATGACCTTTAGATGCATGCAGCACTTCTGATGGGTCTGAGTTATTTCACTCAGCAGACAGTCCTCCAACATCCGTGTCATAGGATCAGGACTTTTTTCTCTTGTTTTTAGCACTGGGGAATAGACTAATGTGTACCACATTTCGTTATACAGACAGTGAAGTAGGTTTGTACAGAAATCTGCTGTGGTCTAAGGAAACCCTTTTCTATGCGCGCTCACCTGTGCTGATGGGATATAGACCTCGCCGCTAGAGGACACAGTCATGCACATGTCGTCTTCACTGTGAACGTGTGACTGTTACTTATGGCCTTTATATACAACAGTTTGTAGAGACAGCCCTGAGCTGATCTAAAGCTACAGGTTGAGCAGTTCTAGGCATGATTGACCATCCGCATCGCCCATGTGTCCTTGAATTACAAGAACCTATACATCTTGTCAAGAATGCAGGGACAATGTCCCCCCACGCTCGCTGGCTTGAAGCCTGAGGAGCACAGCAAGAGTCTCTTAGAAAGCACCACTTACTCAGAAGCAGGACATCTCTCCCAGTGAGACTGACTCACCCGTGAAAGTCATCATTTACGGTCCTGGTCTACTTTAAAAAATCTGACGTCAACCCCACTTAGGAACTCGAGCTTTTGTTTGTCTCCATCGAGCTTTCCTTATCAGTTTTACACAGTTGTTTTCTTGATCAAAAGAGTTAAGCTTACTTGATGAAAACATTGTGTGTGTGTGTGTGTGTGTGTGTTTGTGTGTGTGTGTGTGTGTGTGAGAGAGAGAGAGAGAGAGAGAGAGAGAGAGAAGAGAGAGAGAGAGAGAACTAACCATCATTCAAAAACAGGTTCCATTTCCCTTTTAGTTCTCTAGAAATTATACATAAATCCATGTGTGATGGAAGAACTTGTGGGAGAAATTCATTCGTATCTTTCAAAGCATGGGGAAAAGGGCACAGAACTGAAAATACAGCACATAGTTTGGGTTTAAGGTGGTCCTCATGCTGAGTCCGCAGATGTAACTGATGATTAATTCTTTCTCTCCTCCACTTACATTCCATCTTCAGTAGAATGGAAAAAAATATGTTCTTTCTTTCCCACCCAGAAGCTACGAGGAGTAATCAAATAGACCCTGTCTGAGTAGAATAGGCTTTAATGTCTATGAACAAATTCTCCATGGTAACAGCACTACTGGTAACCTTTATCTATCCTTGGAACTGATCCAAGCCATACTGCTAAATGCAATGCAGTAAAATCTCCAATTACCCAGATTCAAACATGGTGTTTGAATGTGTTCTTCGGTATAGAAGAGGGAATTGCATTCCAAGAAAAATGAGAAAGGATCTAATCGTTCATCATCCCACGTGTGTGACGGCTAGAGCTTATTTGCACACGAGGGAGGACTCAGACCACTGGGTCACCTTCTATCAAAGAATGCCTGCCTTTTCTAATAAAGCCAAAAGAGACCACTGGTGGCCCACTCCTTCCATAACAAGATTGTAGACATGAAAAGTGATCCTCTGACTTACCACAGTAATGGCCACATGAACACAGAACCAAGTAGCAGGGACAAACACTCTGGAAGCCTACACACCCTTATCTTCATGTCATCCCTTTTTTCTTTCTCAGTTAATTTCAGTAATATACCAATAGAATATTTTGTAATGATAAGCAAACAAGAATCTTTCATCACACCCATTGGACTAACAGTATTTAAGAAAGCAAGCATAAATTAAGGCTAAGGGCTCTTTAGTGCACATTTTTTAGTGCATTTTTTCTTGCTAACAGTGAGACTAGAAGATGAAAAAATAAAATCTGAGACTGAAAGGTTTAACTCAAGATATCTGCAAACCTGCACATAACCCTAATTGGCTTGGGTATCTCAGAAGAAAGTTTTCATTCCAAGTGATAACTCATTCTTGGTGCAGACATAGGGTTCACTGATGTCCACAAGCCAACGATTTCAAAAAATCGTAGGAGGATTATGTGGAATTACTCTTCCTTAGAAACTGTCTATCCAAACCAAGGATGCTTTCATGCAACACCATTTTCAGTACAGTAATCCAAACCAAGGAAAAGGTAGTGGAAAAATACAGCGTATTTACTCTACCTAACCCAGCTATTCCTAGTTAACATGTGCGCTCTGTGCTTGAACTGCAGCCCTTGGTGATGGCAAACACTGCAGAATAACTGAACACTGCATGCTACATTTAGTGCACAGGGCGTCTTTTCTGCTCAGCACAAGAAAAATCTACTCTCCAGCAGAGATGAGGGCTGGACCAGAGGCCCAGTAGCAGCAAGGTGGTGAGATATTGTTGCTATTTATTTATTTTCTTTCTTCTTTTGCCCTCAAATAAAAAATAAAACAATGATCTCATTCATTAAACCCAAGTCCAATTCAGAATTCGTCTTCTGAGCTGTCTGCTAGCAGCATCACTCTGTCTTGCATGCTGTTGAATTCTTTCTGCTGGGGGAAGAAAACAGGAAAGCATTAAATTCTTTCTCTTCAAAGCCAAGGAGCAGACCCACTCTAAAGAATGGGGAGCAGATAATACAAAACACCCTAAACAGAAGGTTTTCTTGCACCATTAAATCCTCTGTACTTTATCAGGCAAATTAGGCAAGCAGGGAAGAAGTCTCTGCAACTGATTAGCTTTGCTCTTGTTTCTTGCATACCTTCCTTTTATGCCTTTTGAAGCCATTTCTTCTTCGGCGATTCATAACCTTAATGCTGTAGAGTGCTCCCAAGATGAACAAGGCTCCAGCTATCCCAACCCCAACAGGCACCAGCATTCCAGACATGTAGCCAGCCTGAACAGAGGAGGAGAGAGACAGGTATCAGGATGCTACATGGACTACCGGATTCTGGGTTCCGTGTCCCTGTACATAGCAGCAGGTTTTGAGATGCTTTGAATCCTTCTGTCTGCTATGTTATAATTTGAAAGGGAAACTATAACAAAGGTTCTGCTTTGGGGCTTTGGAGGAAGAAAGCAACAGAGAAAAATAACAACCTTTTTTTTTTTTTTTTTGATATTTCAAATCCCTTAGAAGTAAGTTCTGAAATAAAACAGCCAGACCCAGTGGCCCCTCCAGCCACCTGATTATGCACATTTGTCAACATCAATTTTTGATGACAGAAATATAATTTGTACTAAAGATGGATGGAGTGGGCTACTGAGAATGCCAGGGCTATTAAAATGCAATAAATTGGAAACAGCCTGAGTCGCATGCCAAGGAGTTGAAGTGTCCTCTGGAATACTGTGTTCCTTGGAGGGTGAAGGGGAACTTCTCTCTCTCTTGCCCTCCCGTCCACACTGCGGCTCACAGTCTTTTCAGCTATATTACAATAAAAAGTGAAAGATAAGCGTGCACAAGAGTAGAAGGTGAGAGCACCACAAAGAGCAAGGAGAGGGCAGGAATTACGGCACAGGAATCAAGAGGTGGGTTAATTGTTGGGAGACAAGGGCAGGGAGCAGACGTGTGTATGTGAAGCGGATCTCTGAGGGAAGCAATGTGGCCAGTGAACAAGACCAAAATAGATTGTCCTCAGTCTCAGGGAAGCAGTGACCAAAACGGGCATAAAGATCGCTGCCAGCAACATGGCTACTTCCCAAGGAGCCTCAGGTGTTTCGAGCATACCCAAGGTCACTATGGACACCTCAGTCCTCCGAAAAGAGCGTGATCCCTGCACACCCCAGTGCTCCAGTGAATGGCTCAGGACCCACCCACTCTTGGCGTGAGGCCCTTGTTCTGAGGTAGATCTTTGCAGTAAAACTCCTGTGGGCTGCGTGGGTATACACTAGCCCAGAACCATTTTCATGGGAGAGCAAAAGGGTGCAGCCCAACTGGACAAAATACATCACAGCTTTAACCTAAAAATCTAGAATAAGTAGACAGGTGTTTTTATGAGAGAAGATGAGTCTTCCTCTTCCTTATTTTTGATTTGTTTATTTAATTTCTGCCTCTCTGTGTGATGTGTATATGTGTGTTACCAAGAGAGGTTGGAAGACATCCATCACACCTAGCACTAGAGTTAGAGATGGTTGTGAGCCACCACATGGGTTATGGAATAGAACCTGGTCCTCAGCAAGAGCAACAAATGTTCGTAAACCACAGAGTCATCTTCCTAGTTCCGGACTAATTTCTAATCTAGAAAAACTATTCAGACAGACAGATGTAGAGGCAGGGAAAGAGAGAGGGGGAGGTTTTCTGAAAGCACTGAGGTCTGTAGGCTGTTCTTCTTCCTCTAACCCTGCAGCAGAGGTGGCCTCACAGAGCCACACACAGATGCCTGTGCTCAGCATCTCCCTCACTGCTCTCATATGCCAGAGTTTCAAATTGGGGCAAAATATAAATTTTTTTCATTAATTTAAGAACAATGAGACTCTTTTAAATCAAAGAATTATTTTCAAAGGTGAAACAAATCCCAGTCATTCTTCAACAAATTCATACATTTGTAGAAAAATCAGCTTTCCTAAACTTCTTGCAGTTCCATTGAGCTTTATAAAAACTCAGTCATCTTCCATATAGGAAAATATGGGACAACGCAAAACTTTTGGTACTTTCATAAAGAATAGAGAATTTTTAAAAATCAATATTTTCAGTGCATTGAAATGTAACACCTATTTAATATGAAGAATAATCAAAATTTAGACTCATTAATGAACTTTTTCATAAGTTATGCATTCAGAGGAAAAGATTCTGTTCTTTGGAATATCAACTTGTCAAACTCTGCCTGAGCCTGCAGCAGACATACAGCTTAAGTCCATACCAACAATGTGGGTATTCAAAATATATCACTCTCGTCAAATTTTACACACAAACAAATTTAATTATATCCTTCACTTTTTAAATGGTATCCTCTTTCCCCTAAAGTCACAAGTAAATTGTAGAATGGGAATGCAGTGGTCAGGTCACCTTCCAATACTGTGTAACCACCTGTCCTTCAAAGTTGCCTAAGGCAAAATAACGTCTTCCTCAGAGATGCCCATCGCTTATATTTTTCAGAAAAAAATAAGAAGGCGTGCACTTATTTTTTAAGTTTTTAAGTTTGCCTAGCAGCTTTTCTTTGTTTAAAACCATTGGCTGCGCATGTGCATATAGAAATGGCGTCCAGAGCACACAGTTTACCCGTGTGTTGTTCCAACCAAAACTGTGCAAAGTGGGTCTAACCATGACGAAACAGCCAGCACGCCTAAAGTGATGGACGCTCTATAGTTATATAAAAATATATATCTTTATAAATATGTGTACTATGAAAAATGAAAGAGCTGCAAAGTGAAAAAAAGGAAATGGGAAAAGTATGATAAAGGGATAGGTTACATAATTGATGGGATTTGTTTTAGAGGAGAAATATTTTGTGAATGTCACTTTGGGTCTGTTAAAAAGTTACACTGCAGATACCAGGGACCATAAATATATTGTAGCTAAAATTTACAGTCAGATTTGACAACACAATGTTCTTATTCTCAGAAACTATGCACTGAAAAATTAGGAATAAATAGATTATAGTCTGTGCAATCTATCATCAGCTGGTTCAGGTAGAAATAAGGAGGAGAATGTCTTCACAAATGAAGACTCCAAGGCGGTAAACGATAGCAGTTGGTGCAGCTAGGTTAAAGGTGCCATTTGTATTTTTATATCTTGCCTATGAATGTACAGTATTCCCATTAAAACCTAAGCATCTAAAATATATGGTAAACAAAAATTTGACTAGACATGCTTACATTTATGTGTTTGCCTTTGAAATTTTTTTTTAAGAAAATACATTTGTTCAGAAGCATCTGTTTTCAAGCAAGCTATAAGAAAAGCCCAAGAAAGGAACTGAGGTCATAGTTCAGTTGGTAGAATCCTTGACTAGCATGCACAAGGTCTTGGATTCAGCCTCCAGCACCACATTAAACCAAGTATAGTGTACATACCTGTAATCACAGCACTAAGAGATGGAGGCAGGAAGATCAGAAAACAAAAGCCATCCTTAGCTACAGAGTGAGTTAGAGGTCAACCTGGGCTACATAAGACCCTGTCTCAAAAAACAAACAAATAACCAAACACATACTGCATTGCACTGCCTCAGATATGCTGTTCTGAGCCTTGTGTTTTCTATGCAGCAGTAGCTCTCCAATGGGAGCACAGGTCAGAGGGACTTGTCAGACTTGGGAACACAAACTACTGGGCCACATCCTCAGAGTTTCTAACTCAGCTCTAGAGTGAGTTCTGAGAACCTGCATTTCTGATAAGCTCCTGGGATTTTGAGGATGCTGGCCCAGTGGCACCGTGGATCTCTGTGAGTTCAAGGCCAGCCTGAACTACAAGAGTTAGTTCCAGGGCAGGCTCCAAAGCTACAGAGAAACCCTGTCTCGAAAAACTAAAAACAAAAAACAAAAAAAAAGAAAGGAAGAAAGAAAGAAAGAAAGAAAGAAAGAAAGGAAGGAAGGAAGGAAGAAAGAAAGAACACAGACTGAGCAAGCCAGCAAGCAGGACCTTTCCATGGCCTCCAGTTTCCTGCCCTGTTTGAATTCCTGTCCCAACTTCCTCTAATGATGAACTGTGGTGTCAAAGTCTAAGCTATATACCACTCACAACTTGTTTTTTGGTCATGGTGTTTCATCACAGCAATAGTAACCCTGACTAAGACACCAAGGCCCATACAGATTCATGTGGAGAGAGCTGAGTTGGACATGCCATTCAGAATCATGAATTACTTGGGAATGAAGGCCAAAATGATATATCATCAAACTGAAGCAGTTTGTCATGTTTCTGTGGCTCTACCCATGAACCTTTGACTGCAGCTGTATTGGGCAGGGGCTGCCTGTTACTCACAACTGACTTTAATATTAACATCAAAATCTGAAAAATCAACAAAAGAAACAAACCAAGACTTTTGAAAACACCTTCTTTCCTAAAGCTCCCATAGCTAACAGAGACCTGATACCAGAACAACTCATGAGACTAGAATGAGAGGGTATTCTGGCTTGACTAGAGAACTCAGTTCAATACGTGTTTAGTCTTTGTCTAAGGGATTCAGTGACTTTCATCAGAGGCAGTAGCTTGCAAATGGCTTCTGAAAAGGGTAACTTGTAAGAATTGATATTTACATACAGATTATAAAGGTTAAAATATCTAACCCCAATGCAGTTTTCTGCCAAATTTTAAGCCTATTTTAATCATTTTTGGAATAAATTTTAGAAATTTTTCTCAGGATATTCTTTTAAATCTTTCTGTCCATCTGAACGTATCCATTGACATAACTAGACCCACAACAAACACCAAAGATGGCAGCCACCGGCATCAGCAGCCTGGAAGTTTCCTTTACTACTTTTCACATTCATGAAAACAAAATAACCTCACTCTAAAAACCTACATATATGCAAATTTTACTGAGAAATAAAAGGGTAGTGAGAACTATTATAATCCCATATTTTTAATTGCAATTGAATGGCCTATTCTTTAACATAAAATTGTAGCAAAATTAAAAACTATTAATTCCAATATAGGAAAACTGGCTCAAATAATAAAACAAAATATATGGAAAGCCATAAGCCGAGATGTTTTGAGGCTGGGGAACTGAAGGCAATTAAATGCCTGGCCATTTAAAAGGTTTTCAAGCAACTGAAGTCCCAATTAAAGCTGAGCTGAGCTGAGTTAATGGAATCTGACACAGGCTGCACCAAGGAACTAAGGCTTCCACCAATATTTTGAGGAGCAGTTGCAGTTAAAACTACAAAGCTACCCAATGGGGAAACTTGGAGAGGCTTGAAAACCAAAGAAAATAAAAGCATGCACACAGAAAGGAATTAATTAATTCGGTGAGTTGAACGTGTACAGGAGAGGAAAGCACTTTCCACAGCTGCCCATCTAGACAGGGTGGCTCGCTAGTGCCTTGTGAGAAGCAACATTGCAGTCAGTACACACCTAGGGCAGCTTCCTGTTCCACAGACAGAGCTGAACAGCACTGCCAACATCCCCTAAAAGAAACGCTACCAGGTAGATGAAGGATGTTATTCAGCGGGGCATACCGCTAACGGTAAGTGCTTATACATTTGTCACACTAAGGGGATGGCTCAGTGGTTAAGGGGTCTTGCTCCTTGGGACTGAAGAGAAGGCTCAGTGATTGAGAGAGAGAGAGCAATGGCTGCTCTGGCAGAGGACCCAGGTTCCATTCCCAGTACCCATTTGGTGACTCACAACTGTCTGCGACTTCAGTTCATATACATTAAGGCAAATGCTCATATACATAAAATAAAATGAACACACCTGAAAAAAATCATGTTTTGAGAGTTCTTGCTGTACAACTACAGGATCTGAGTTCAGATACCAGAACCCACATTGCAAGTGGATGGTAGGTGTCTCTCATGACTGTAACCCCAGTGCTGTAAGGAGTGGAGATGGGAGAATTGCTGGGGCTTTCTGGCTGCCAGTGTACCCCAAATCCACCAGCTCTGGGTTCAGTGAGAGGTCCTGCCTCAAAAGAGTAAGGTAGAGAGTGACAGAGGAAGACTCATGACTCAATCTGTGATCTCCATACATGCATAAACATACATGTCTGCACATACATATGAATATATACTCCCCAAGACACACACACACACAGACATGCACACATACACAGACATAGATACACACACATACACACAGACATGCACACATACACAGACACAGATACACACACACACATATACATAGACACAGATACCCCCCCCACACAGACATGCACACATACACAGACACAGATACACACACACACATACACAGACACAGATACACACACATATACACAGACACAGATACACACACACACATACACAGACACAGATACACACACATATACACAGACACAGATACACACACACACACACACAGACACACACACATATACACAGACACAGATACACACACACACACATACACAGACACAGATACACACACACACACACACACACACACACACACACACACACTCACATACACACGAGGTGGGGAGGAGAGGTGCTGGGGCTCCAGAGAATAAGGTGTCTGTCTTCTGTGTTCCCAGTGAAGGAATCTGCAGGGAATATCTCTTTCTGCTGGAGGCCCAGAGCAGCAAATTGAAGCTCCATTATTATTATTATTGTTGTTGTTGTTGTTGTTTTAGATTGTAATTTAAATACAGCATTTGTCCCTTCCCTTTCCTCCCTCCACACTCTCTTATGTTCGTCATAGCTTTCCTCCGAAGTCATGATGGATTATCACATGCATACGTATGTCTTATGTACACATATGGTAACACGTGGGAGCTCCGCTGCTTCGCAGATCTTCTATTTACCCTTCAATGTAAATCAAAGGGAAGAAGAGACGCTCCTTACCTTGTCTTTTAGCTTTTCCATCCAGCTTCTCACTAGGAAAAACAAGAGAATTGGATATAAATAGCCATCTCCTACGGACATTTCACAGTATTGCACTAACTTGTTAACTTGATACACTGAACTTTTTTTTTGGCGCAGAATATACTAAAAATATCAACAATATTAGCAAAATGACAACAACGAAAATTTTTTGAGGCTGGGTCTTTCTACACAGTTCTGGCTGTTCTGGAACTTTCTATGTAGAACAGGCTGACCTGGAACTCAGAGATTTGCCAGCCTCTGCTTTAGAAGGCTGAGATTAGAGTATGTGCCACCAAGCCACTTACTTAAAAATGCAACAGAGAGCAGAAGCACTCCCTACCATTACTAGATGAATAGAGAATATCTCTGTACGCCAACAGAGCTCTCGCTACTATTCAATGCATTAGGAGAAGGTTGAGGAAAGGGACAGGGAATGACTTTCAAGGTGCTGTGTTCATTTTTTTCCTTTAACCTGGTGCCTTATTTGTCTCCCTTCTTAGGATCAACGAGAATGCTTTACTTGAAGCACCCCGGAAAGCAGAGAACAGGGAGGGAGGGGACAGTGGAGCACCAAGGCAGCTCAGCTCTGGCTCCAAAGAGAAGCTTGTGACCATATCTGGAGAAGAAAGAGTGGGGCCAAGAAGTCATTATTCTACAATAACCACTATTAATAACAGAAGAAACACGAGTGAAGGGCATGGTGAAGACCAGCTAAGTGATTTTCTGAAGATCCCAATAACAAGCATTTGGAATTTCAACAGAAGAGACAGGCGTCATTCAAAGTGTGAAGGGGGACTGGAAACTGGAAATGGGCACTTCATTCCTTCCCTGACGTTCAATGTTACGTTGGCGCTTCAGTGAGCATGTCCTTTACGCACAGAAAAGTGAGTGGGGGAGATAGTGCATCTTCATTGTATCTTTACTATCAAGCAAAAGAATTCAGCAAGCAAATTAAAGGTGAAAAATAAGGTTTTCCTTTCTTTCTGGAGTTTTCAACAAGCAGAAAAGGAGGACCCTGGGCTCCCGCTTTTCCCGAAGAGTCTGAGAGTAATGTATGAACTCAATATGGCTGCAGTCATTCATAGCTACCCATTCTGCCGCTGCAGTACAAAAGCAGCCCTGGGTGGTCTATAAGCAAATGTGCTCAGCTATGTTCTAATGAACTCTGTTTATAGACACTGAGATTTGAATTTTATGTAATATTTATATGTCATAGTCATTTTCATTTAAAGTCAAATTAAAATATAAAAAATTGTTTGCTCACAAGTTATATAAATACAGGAGGCCAGTCAGAGTTGGCCGTGAACCATAATTCGGGACCCCTGGAATAAGAATACTCTACTCAAGAAGTCAGCACCTCCATTTGCAATCTGACACCCACAATAATGTATTGGATCATGCCAACATGGCTATGACTATTTCTTACAAAGCACATGCATTGTAACATGTGATTCATGAGTCGACAAGCATGAGAGTCAGATAAACCTACGCTCACATGCCAGCGGTGGTGGCTCCTGTCCACAAGCTCAGCATTCAGGAATCATGGAGACTGTTCAAATTTAGGGTAGGCCTGAACTACAGTATGAGACCGTGTCTCAAAAAGTGAGATATATGCATGCTCAGAGAAAAGATGGGGGAACTGGGATTCAGAGAAACTAAGAGACGCCTGCAGTCAACCGTTGAATGCTTACGGGAATGCCAGCCTGAGTTCTCGGAGTGAGACTTCTCTGACACCTATCCCAAATGTGGAGATACCCTTGGCTTTCCCATCTCCTTTAATTGGCTTCAACTTCTCAGGGTTGTTTTTCCATCATTGCTCTGTGCCACCTGGTGCAGACAGAGATGAGGTGACTATCAGGATAGGATCACGTTTATAGCAAGGTCAGAACAAACACATCTAGAAACTCTAGGACCAGGCCAGGAGTTAGCGCTTGTAGGAGTGAGTCCACCAAGAAGGGAGGTCAGCTGCTGACTCTAGAGGAACTAAGGAGCCCGAAGACCCTCAACCCCCGCTATGCAAAGAAGACAAGACAATAGATGCTCTCGGAGACCATTGTGAAGATTAGAAATGTCATATATAAAATTACAGCATAGAATCAGATATAGAATTCAAATAGGAAGAAGAAAGACAATGAAATCTGGAGCTTGTGTCACTGTATCTCAAATACAAAGCATATTTCAATGTAAGCAAGAGAATATTCAAAATGCATTCACTAATTCCAAAAATATTTGCTATTTATATGATGTTTGGCCAGGCATTGAGCCCTATTGTGTCTATAATAAGTTAACAGATGCTATGAGACCTAGTTCCAGTGAGAAAGGGGGTCAGTTCTCAAGTATCTAAGAGGTGGATAACAGGAAGTAGTGTGGGCTATGAGAAAGCGAGGAACGGAGTCCAGGATCAGGAAGCCGTCTGGGTATTACACAGAGAGGACGACAGCATAGCTGGCTTAGGGTCACTACTCTCTGAGCAGAAGGACAGGAGGCAAAGATCAAGGCTGGATTTAAGGCACCCGTAGGCTTTTCCACTATAAGAGGCTCGTGGCCAAGAGGAGCATTTTCAACTTGTTCCTCTCCTGAAAAGCAGCTACCCATGTGTTAAGTCTGTGGAGTAAATCATATGGAGTCTGTGAGGGCTAGGTTTCAGGATTTATTTGGTTGGTAATTTTCAATGGTGTGTGTGTGTGTGTGTGTGTGTGTGTGTGTGTGTGTGTGTGCTTTATGTGTACTCCTGCAACAGTGAATGTATGAAAGTCAGAGGACAACTACTACCTGGGAGATTTGCATCCTCTAAGCATGTGGGTCCTAGGGATCAAACTCAACTCAACAGGCTTGGTGACAAATACCTTTACTCACTGAACCATCTTGCTGGCCCATGGTGGTTAGTTTTAGTTGTCCATTTGACACAGTGAAGACTTGCCTGGTAAGAGAGTATTAGTGAGGTTGTGTCTAGATCAGGCTGACCTGTGGGCATGGGTTCAGGATTGTGTCTAGATCAGGCTGACCTGTGGGCACATGTGCAGGGGTGTGTCTAGATCAGTCTGACCTGGGGGCACATGTACATGGGTGTATCTAGATCAGACTGACCTGTGGGCACGTGTGCATGGGTGAGTCTAGATTAAGCTGACCTGTGGGCATGTGTGCAGGGGATTACTATTATTGCCTTAATTGAGGTTAGAAGATTATAAGTCTAAAATAGATAATAAATCTAAAATGTTTTAGACAAAGGTCTAAAAATAGTTTAAAAACTTGTCCCAGGCAGTGTCTATAGAGTGAAATAAAATTTCAGAATAATTTTTAAAGATTTTATATGTATGGGTGTTTTGCCTGCATGTATGTCTGTATGCAACATGTGTTCCTGGTGTCCATGGTGCCCAGAAGAGGGTTCCTGATCCCCTGGAGCTAGAATTTCAGATGATCGTGAACTACCATGTAGTTGCTGAGACTTGAACCCAAATCTGGAAGAGAAGCTAGTGCTCTTAACCACTGAGACGTTGCTCCAATCCCTCAAGATGAAGTTATTTAAAGCAAAAGAATTATCAAAGTCTGTAGCTCTAAGTTCTGTATCCCTGTGAGCCTCCCACAGGGGGAGCTCTCTCCATAGCCCCAGAGGAAAAATACTATGTATACTAAAGTAAGGCACATCAAAAAAGTAACAAAATTAAATAACAAGAGTCAGGATTAAGGATAATATTTCTTTTATTCTTTATTTCTCTTGAGACTTGCCACATTACATATAATTTTGAACTACTTCTTAATTAGAGGGAAAACACATTTTAACCCCCACAAAACTCTGCAAACCTTTACAACTTGAAGTTGGTAGTAAATTCTTGACTGTGAGGGGCCAGAGAAGTTGAGGTCTTTCCACTTGGCGAGTTCCCTAGATGACAGCTACAGCTACTAGTCCCACTGAAGCTAGTTTGTGTCTCAAAATTTAGTTTCATGGAATTTGAAAAGCACAGCACTCAAATAAGACCACCGTTCTCCTTCAAGTAGGGATAGAAGTATCCAGACGAAAAGTAAGCTTGAATAAAGGCGACATAAAAAGTTCTTAGCTGATATACTCCCTGGTAAGAAGCTGAAGGCTTTTTGTCATAAGATCAGGGACAGAAGAATGCCTAATGTTGCCACTTCTGCTGGATACAGTACCTGAAGTCCTAGCTAGAGTAGGGAGAAAAGGCTGTCTACTTGAAAATAAGTTAAATGGGAAAATATAAATTAAAATCCAAAATCTTTTAAAGACACAACCCTAAAACTGTGCCATGCACATCCACACAGAGAGATACAAGTGCACAGGTGCATACCCACAAATGCACACAGGCACACACATGCATGCACACACATATGAAGGCATACTAACATATGCATAAACACACATGCATGAATACACACATAAACACACACATACACATATAAAGTCTGGAAGTATAGTGATATTTTATTTGTAGTTTAATAAATAAAGCTTGCCTGAAGACCAGAGTAAAACAGCCCCACTGGTCAGTCTTACAGACCAGGCAGTGATGACAAAAACATTTAATCCGAGTAGCCACATTAGTTTGCCATAAAAACCGGGTGGTAGTGGTGCATGCCTTTAATCCCAGCTCTAGAGAAGATTATAAAATGGGAGGACACAGTTCTTAGGCTCAGTCTTATTCTGAGATTCCTGGAGGCAGAATCACTATTACGGACTTAGGTAGAGGTAAGAGTCAGTGATTGGCTGTTTTGCTTTCTGACCTTCAGGTTGAACCCCAAATTTTGTCTCTGGGTTTTTATTAATCTTGTTATATGGAAGAACTTATAATTGGATTGAGCAAAGTTACTGGATACCAAATAAACATGCTGATTGTTGAAATGTTCTCAGAGTTCAAACAATCTGTTGATTCACTGAGCTCTTCATCAAAACTCTAATATTATTTTTTACAGAAATCGAAGACACACCTAAAATTTATATGAAACAAAACAAAATATTTGAAAAATATTTACTCTTTACTTATCTGGTAAAGAGTAAATA